TTAAAAAACCCCGCAACTTCGCTGTGGATGGAAGTCTATTTTTAGAATTCCTGGTTTTCTCTTGGCGGCACCCATATCGATACTGATCTAAATAAATTAACAATGACAATGACTACAGATCATATGCATAATGGCAAGGGTCATTTAAAAAAATGGCCCTTGCCATTCTCGCGTATTACTACGTTCACGTGATTGCATGACATTATGAACATTTCATGCCAAAAAAACAAGTTTTTCGACATGGTGTGAATGAAAACCGATACTACATCCTGTCGATTTCCAAATCTCAGTCAATTTATCTAAATCGCTAAAGTAGATTTGAATCGATAATTGGATCAAATAGTTAAATTTTAACTGGGTCAGAATTTTAATTGGCAATTTTGTAGAAATTATGCACAGTGTAACTAATGAATAGATTAATATTTTATGAAGTTAATCTTTACAAACTATCTTCATGATTTTTCCCTTAGATCCATTCACGTTATGTCTGACAGTGTTTTTCTTGATAAATATACCTCACTTATCTTCGAATATATAAGCATATGGAATACCTTCAGAAATGCGAATATATCCTCTGAACATTCCTTCGGTATTGAAAGGCATGGCAACTTGATTAAAGAATGCGCTATTAGTATCTGTGAATATAAGAATCTAAGTAATATCACATTGTTGACTTACAATTTCCGTATTTATCCAATGCGATGACTCCACCACTACCACCAACTTTCGATAAATTCTCGATAACGTTGGAAGCCGAATCTTGCACACTTTCTTCAAGATATTTCATTCTCGCTGCCACATCATATGCAACACTATGACGAATGAAAAACTACGTGAAAAATATTAGTAGATTTTAAGTAAATTCGTTTGATACATGACATATAAACCAGTTTTTTTTTTTATTACTTCGCCATTTCCAGTACCACTGACACCACATGTTTCATTATCGGCCCAAGTTCCACATGCTATTAATGGTGTATCACCGATACGACCATCTTTTTTATTATTGAATCCGCCTTAACGCGTTGAAATTAAAAAGTAATCGTCAATTACTATATCACTCTATCTTTGAAATTTGAGACGTGGTATGTTTACAAACCCGTAGACGTGGCCGTAGAAATGATCCCATTTATATCAACCTTGAATGATGAATTTTTAATTAGGATGTAGTAATTACATGGATTCTAAAATAAAATGTACTACCGCAACAGCTCCAACTGTTCCTATCGGATTCGGATCAATATCACTTGAATCGCCATTATCGAGATTATTTAACATTCTCAAATTTTCAGGTATCAACTCTTTCTTTTCTAATCCATCTAAATGTTGCTTCCATCTATGTTTTGTCCAAAAATAGCCCGGATCCACCATTTCTAATCCTTTCGATTTCGCGTACTTTTCAGCTTCAATACCTCCAAGGAATACATGTGGATTTTCAGGGTCCTGAAGAAGAGTTTTAGCCAAAATTATTGGATTTTTTACTGTTTTGAGTAATGTACATGCACCAGCCGGGTGGGAGTCGACTCCATACATAATTGATGCCTCCAATTCATTCTATTAATAAATTTTAATGATTTATTGTGGCTTATGTCATGTATAATAAATGATTGAACTTTATCGAATAATTTACCTTGCCACTTATAGTAAATACTGATCCTTTACCAGCGTTGAAAAACGGGCAATCTATTAAATGAAATCAATTTTAATATAGCTAGATGCTTCCGTTGTATACTGAAATCAAGTAATGCGGTGATATAAACCTTCCAGAACTATGACGGAAGCAACAACGGCGTCAAAAGAACTTCCCCCTTTTCTCAATACTTCATACCCAACTAAAAGTGACTCTTTTAATGCATCAATATATTCTTTTTGCTTGCTTTCCGGGAAGTTTGTACGATTTATTACTCCTGCACCACCATGAATCACTAATGTTGGTCCATGATTTATTCTTTCGTCCGCCTATATCACGGTGGTGCAATTCATCAATATTTTAAGTTTTGGTAATATTAAACAAAGGGGTTATTACGACAAATCACCTCTTTTGGCATATCTGCTTTACTAGGCTAATGTCCTAAACTAACGCGTTTTTTTTTTCCAATTGATGACGTATACAGGATGGGAGGACCAGTAAAATAAAGGCTTCGGTTTATTTGAAAATGTAAAGTTTTACCATCGCATATCTTCCAATTCTATAGATCTAAGTTTATTATTAGAATAATGAATTCACAGCTATTCAAGTTCGATCTAGTATATATGTACGTATAAGTACATGATCATTGCTGCCTAATTTTATTTTTATCGTTATCGTTATGTACAAACATTTTTTTATTATTAATATATACATTTACTTTCGAAATAATTCTAAAAACGTTTTAGTTGTTTTTTTCATTCCATGTATTTCATGTATTTTTACATCATCTTGTAAAGTTTCTGGCAATTGTCTTTTACATTTTGTACAAACTTATTTTCTTTACTTATATTTTTAGATAAAGTTTTAGTTTTGATTGTTTTAGGTTCTGTACCATATTTGAATGAGTTTTCAAGTTCAATTTATTAAAGTTCTTTAACTTGTTGATGGATTATAATAAATACCGGTAAATTTATTCTTTAATGAATTTATATAATAACAGGTATTTATAAATTTTAGGATTTAGATCAAACAAAATTGTTAAAATTCAACTTTAAATTTAAAGCAATTTAATAAATTTTTTTTTTTAATGTTAAGGTGACCACTTTGGGGTTTGGCATGTTTTATTGAACTTTGGATCGAATGTCAGGGTAATCACATGGGCTACTTCTGACTTTGTTACATTAATGAGGATATATTCTAGCCATATCTGTGCTTTTTAAGTGCCTAATTAAGTAATTTGCCTATTACTAGGTTTTATATTAAATGTTATACCTATAACCTACTATTATTTGAGTTATCCAATTAAACCTTCTGATCAACTATCAAATGCCAGGGTAATCACATGGACTACTTCTGATTTTGTTACATTAATGAGGGTACATTTTAGTTATATCTGTGTCTTTAGAGTGCCTAATTAAGTAGTTTGTCTATTATTAGATTCTACATTAGATGTTGTATCTATAACCCACTATTATTTGAGTTATCCAATTAAACCTTCTGATCAACTTAGTGTCATTAG